AAGACTGTTGACTGTGGAGCCAAGCAAACTAAAGCTGTGAACAATCTCAATCTCTTCACCATCCATCCTGATGCTGCCAATTGATCCAGTGATGAGAATCTTTTTCTTCTTGACACTGAGCCTCAATCCATATTGAGGCTGCACATTAACCCTCTGTAGCAAGCGCTTCAGGTCCTCCTCAGTTTCAGCAAGCAGGGTTGTGTCATTTGCATAAAGCAGATTGTTAATAGATCTTCCACCAATCCTGACCCCACATTTCTCTTCATAGAGCACAGCCTCCCTGATAATCTGTTCTGCATACAGGTTGAAAAGGTATGGAGACAGGGCATATCCCTGGCATATGCCCTTCCCAATTTTGAACCATGCAGTGTTCCCTTGCTCTGTTCTGACGACTGCCTCCTGGTTCAAGTATAGGTTTCACATTAGTACGATCAAGTGTCTGGGATTCCCATTCTTCTCAGAGTCAGCCCCAGTTTGTTATGATCCACACAGTCAAACGCCTTTGCATAGTCAATGCAACACAGATATACATTCCTCTGATATTCCCTTCTTTCAGCTAAGTTCCGTCTAACATTATCTACAATATCCCTAGTACCACAACCCCTTCTAAACCCAGCCTGGACTTCTGGCAGTTCTCTGCTGCTGTGCTATTCTAGTCCTTTTTATATAATCTTCAGTAGAATCTTACTTGCATGTGAAATCAATAATATTGTTCTATAGTTTCCACACTCTGTTGGGTGACCCTTCTTTGGAATGGGAACAAATGCAGATGTCTTCCAGACACTTGGCCAAGTGGGTGTTCTCCAGATTTCTTGGCACAACTTGGTGAGCACGTCCAGGGCAGCTTCTGTTAGCTGAAATATGTCAATTGGTATACCATCTATTCCTGGGGCCTTATTTTTTTGCCATTTCCTTCAAAGCAGCCTGACTTTTCTTCATCACCATAGGCTCTTGCTCATATGTTGTTTCATGAAATTCTTCTGTGTCTGCCAATTCCTTTGGATACAGTGACTCAGTATATTCTTTTCATCTTCTTTTAGTACTTTTCGGATCATTTAATATTCTGCCTAAAGCATCCTTGATTATAGCAACTCTCGCTCCAGTGCAGTTTTCTTTTTTTTTTAAATTATTTTTACGTGTACCATCAAATCAGATCTGACAGGTACAGGAGGAGATTGCCCCCTCCTTCTCCAGCAGAGCATCTGGTGGATTTGAACCACGTGCTCCAGTGCAATTTTCAGAGTCTCTTCTGGCATCCATTTTGGTCTTCTCTTTCTCTTCTGTGTTTGCAATAACCATTTGCACTCTTCCCTGGATGATACCCTTGATATTCTCCCACAACTCATCTGGTCTTCTCTCATTAGCGTTCAAGGCCTCAAACCTGTTCCTGAGATGGTTCTGAAATTCAGGTGGATAGACTCAAAGTCATATTTTGGTTCCCGTGGATTTGGTTTAGTTTTCCTCAGCTTCAGCTTGAACTTGCATATGAGTAGTTGGTGGTCTATTCCGCAGTCAGCTCCTGGCCTAGTTTTCACAGCTGATATTGAGCTTCTCCAGCAGTTTTTTCGGCAGATGTAATTGATCTGTTTCCTATGCATATTATCTGGTGAAATCAGGTGTATATAACCTGCATTTATGTCTCTTAAAAAAATGTATTTGCTATGAATAAGTCATTGATTGTGCAAAATTCAATCATTGTCTCTCCAGCTCCATATCTGTCACCAAGTCCATGTTTTCCAACTACTGAATCTTTTCCCAACTTTTGCATTCCAATCACCTATTGTTATCAGTGCATCTTGATTACATGTTCGATCGATTTCCGACTAAAAGTTGGTAAAAATCTTCTATTTCCTCTTCCTTGGCTCTGGTTGTCGGTGCATACATCTGAATGATAGTGGTATTCACTGGACTTCCTTGTATGCATATGGATATTATCCTGTCACTCACAATATTATACAGCCTGCATTTATGTTTCTTATAAAAGGTATTGCTGTGAATAAATCATTGATTTTGCAGAATTCTGTCTTTCTATCCCCAGCCTCATTTCTGTCATCAAGTCCATGTTTTCTGATTACTGATCTTCCCTAGTTCTCAATTTTGCATTGTGGTCACCCATTATTATTAGTGCTTCTGGGTTGCATGTTCAGTCAATTTCTAACTGTGAAAGTTGGTAGAAATCATCTATTTCCTCATCTTTGGCTCTGGTTGTTGGTTCATAACTTTGATGATACTGGTATTAACAGGTCTTCCTTATTTCCATATAAATATTAACCTATCATTCACAATATTGTGTTTTAAGACTGCATTTTCTGTGTCCACCAGTTTTTGTAGACAAGACTGAGGAGAGGGTCTGGTGTGCTATTAGTAAGTCCATATGATAGCTCTCAAAGCAGATTGCATGCAGTGTCATGAACTGATTTCTGTCATAAGGAAGTGCTGAAGGAGTGTGGAATACTTTATGAGGGCTAGAGGAGCTCGGTGTGGGTCTTGGCTCTGTGTCCATGCTCTCTGTCCCCGGAAGCACAGGTGATGTGTGGCCATGCACTCAGATCTTCTCACATTTCCGAGTGGTAAATAAACTTTTTTCTCTGTCTGCTTCTCTTCCAGCTCTTCAGTCAGGAGATGATCATGAAGTTTGTGCCACAGTACAGTCTTGTCTTGGAGCTCAATGACAGTGGGGTCTTCCGAAGAAGCCTGCATGACCCCAGTGGCCTAGTGGCCACTTATGTCAGCGAGGCAGAGGAGCATGATGGACACCTGTACCTGGGCTCCTTCAGGTCCCCTTTCCTCTGCCAGCTCAGCCTTGAGTCTCTGTGACCCTCTGAGAGCTACCCAGAGACTGCCAGTTGAATTTCCTCTGGCACCTCACAGTGTGGCTGTAATGCTGGGAATAGGCACTAGGTCACACAAACTATCAATTTTTCTCTTTGCAGGGGCCTCTGGAGTGTGAGCCTCATGGAGTGTGAGCCATCAAACATTGCCATCATCTGGGCCTCCCTTTTAATATGCGCAAAATAAATCCATGTGCAGCCATTTTCTCATTAGATAAAAATAATTTCTGTGACCATAACTTTTGAGGAGTTGAGAACTTCATACACTTTAACTGGGTAAACAGATCAGTAGAGGAGCCTCCCAACAATCTTATTTTGGCTGTTGGTTCTGTTTTCCTGCTGTCCATATCTTCATTCTAAATGTGTCATACTTTTGCTTGTGGGAGAGAAGCATAGTACCAAAGTGAAGTGACATTAAAGCCAGGAGCTGTGTAGGTGCGGGCCTTAGGGCTTTTTTATTCCACCTACATAAACAGACAGGGTCAGAGGGGCCTCAGAACATGTCAGAAACTACAATGACTGCTGTAGGTGGTGCCAAACAGTAAGGAGAGCCCTACTCTCCTACACTATGTACTTTCATCTGTTCAAATAGACATAGATAAGCAAATAGCAAGTTTAGGTCTCTTCTGTTCAGACATAATTGCCCTGTCTAGCCTCACAGCCTCAGAAACATTGGTGCATGACTTTGGAACTGAGTCCCCTCTGTACCTCAGTTTGCTAATATGGAAAATAGGGCAGTATCTCTACATAATATTAACACTCACTCACCTGTTGCCTTTAAGTCATAATAAATTCATTACTGGCCTGCTGCATGTTTTCAAAGACTGTAAATCATATGAGAGATTGCCTGTCTATTCTGCCACAGAGTTGCTGGTGGATTCCAACTGCTGGAGGCACCACCTTTACATTAACAGTGCAACTCCCTACACCAACAGGGTTGCCCAATTAAAAGTGGGGTTGTTGTGAGTGATAGCTGACTCGACACCACCTAACAACAACTGTATGAGAAAACCTTTCCAGTACTCTGTAAGGACACACTAATCATAAAAACCTGAAAATTGGGCTTTCTGTCCTGTGACAGGTTCTAACAGGATCTTGGAGGAGTTTTCACAATTGTTAACATGTTGCCACACACTTTTCAATTGACTACCTTGCTTAGAAACACTTTTTTTTCTCCCTCCCTTGCTGCATTACCCTCATTTGTGGCAACATGTTAACAGAGAGGCAAAAAGTGAATCAATTCACTTAATTTAAAAAGCATGTAAATAATTCACATTAAACACTTTTCTATGTTTATAACAAAAGACTACCACACACAAATTGACTAAAAAGGCCGTGTTTTGTACCGGGGCAAGCCAAATTATTAGATAGAACAAAAGAAATGATACTTCTTAGGGGAAAACAAAACATTAATGAAAATCAACATTCTGTGCCATAAATTATGAAAATCAGTTTGTCAGCTCCAGTGTACTGGTGAAAACTGAGCACAAAAAGTAAAACTTTCTGTTCTCAGTTAAAAATGTGAGATGCGAATGTGTAGGTCCAGCACATTTGAATAAATTTTATAATAAAATCAGTGGGTAATGCATTATTATGTTTGTTTTTCTGCTTTATGAGGTGCACTATTAGCTACTAAAATACATTTAATTTTAACTGTTCCATTTTATATTAATATAATCATGTAAACAATAAAAATTGTTCATTTGTTACAACAGAAGTTGAATCCATTAGGTTTATAGCTCATCAGTGACTGTACTCTACAAGATAGAAAAAGATCAGATTAAACCACACAGTTGCCCCTTAGCTACCAATTTGTAATACTTTATTTAAAATATTCAGAAAGACAATCTCTGGTGTATTTCCATTAATAGATTTTGTAGGTAAAGATTTTGTATTTATTTCCATAAATAGATTTTTGGAGAAGAGGAAAGAAAAGTACTGTGAATCTGCCCGATAATGATTCAGCACTGGGGGTGCTTGGGCTGAAGCTTGTCTGCTCTCCTAAAAATGTCTGCTATGGATACATCCTGTGAACCATCTTTCCAGGCAAACTGCTCACTTGTTACGATGTCAAAAATAATCCTCCAAACATCATTTAACTCATTATTTACTATTACCTTCCATTGGGTTTCAAATAAACTAGAATATTAAACTAGAAAAGATATTTTAAGGCAATACCATCAAAAGAATAGGCTTTTCTTGGCCCGAGGGTGGAACGAATGTCCCACGGTTTTCTGCGTCTTCGATTACCTGGGGAGATGGGAGGGGTCTGAGGCTGGCCTCTAAGCTGCCCCGCCTTCAGCTAGTCAGATGCCTAACCCCTCCTCTGAGTGGCCTGCCAAATGAGCAAAGGCCAGATGAGTTGTGGGAAGATATCAAGGGTATCATCCAGGTAGAGTGCAAACAGTCATTGCAAAGAGAGAAGAGGAAGAAAAGACCAAAATGGATGTCAGAAGATACTCTGAAAATAGCACTGGAGCACAGAGAAGCCAAAGCACAGGGAAGAATTCAAGATACTAAAGAGTTGAATAGAAGATTTCAAAAGGCA